TATGAAATTTTAATTTATATATTTCATACTAATCTTTATATTGATGATTATTTAAAAACTTCCCAAAAATTATTTTTATACATTTTTAAAATTAAATTATAAGATCAAATGACGATGTAGACTGTAGAATACGTCTACAAAGTAGACTTCTAAGAAGGTCTACAAATGTGTAGACTTCTCTCTATTATGTGTAGACTTGTAAAGGACATAACCGTAAAATAACTGTCTGTTTTTTTTGTTTGGTCACAAGGGTTAAGTAGTAACTTCATAACCCCTTTAGGTTGGTTTTGCATTTGACTCAATAAGGGGTACACCTTTAGGGTTGAAATGAAATTTTAGGTTGGTTTTGGCAAATCCCCCTTTATTTAAATCATGTACTTTAAAACATGTTAATATATTTTTTTAATTTTAAATAACAATCACTTTGTTTTGATAAATTTCAATGGTAACTTTTAAATAATTTATTTTTTATTTTCTTAAATAATTTACTGATTAAAAAAATGTAAAGCAAAACCAAAAACAAAATTAAAAACTAAAATCCAAAACCAAAAGCTGAAAACACATATTATATTTTTTTGCTCTGTTTATATACAAAATAAACTATTTCATTTTAAAAAAAAAATTGTTTTCATCTTTTCAGTTTTAAACTAGATGTTCGATTATTTGAGATTTGTTTGTTGGTAATATTTATTCAAACTAACTCAGCGGGTTTAAAAATTAAAAACCCAAACAAAAAACTGAAAAATGAAAAGTATAAACTTAAAAACTAAAAACCAAAATCCAAAATCTAAAAATAAAAAAATAACTAAAAATTAATGAAAAACAATCATTACAACAAATTTTGGTGAACTGATTTTATAGCAAAATAAATTATGACAAAACCCAATTATATAAATTTTTAATCATAAAAAATTTCCGCGCTTTTAAGCGCGGGTCAAAATCTAGTTCTATTTTAAAGTAGAAGGTATAGAGAGGTGCCACGTAGGATTGTGTTATTTTTTAATTAATACAAACTTAAGGTTACATCTTTTCAAATGTTTTTCAATTAATATATAGGGGATTTAAATGTATAAATACATCGTATTATATGTGTGATGTCTATAAATCTTTCATGTTAGATGTCACAAAATGAGGCCTAACGAAAATGCCACAACACATAATACATTTTTTTTAATGAATGTAAAATTTATTCAAACAAAAAAACATGTTTACATCAAATGCTATTCTTTTCTGATAATGTTTTGTTGAAATTTAAAATTAAACAATGAATCTATGAATTTTAAATTTCAATTTAAAATTTTCCTATGAATGTTCTTTTCTAATTTTAAAATTTCCTATGAATGTTGTTGTCTCGTCCCAAACCACATGGTGAGACTGTCATCAAGAGAATGCACTCCTATTTTCCTTAATGAACTGAGTCTATTCCTGATAGCTTTGTCAATGAATTTGCCCAACACATAATAAAGTTACATGCATTTAAAATTATGAACATATATGTTTAAGTTAACAAGTTATATGTTCATTATGAGGAAGATCGATTCTCATATGATGCCTTGTTAAATTAACACAAAATCTTACATGCTACATTGATACAAAACTGGATTTCGTCATCTTGTTTGCGTATTATCCTGGGAACTCCTCATCTAATGCAATTTTCCTAAAAATAATAAAGACAAAACAAAAGCAACTCTAGAAAAGCATGCGTAGTAATAAGAATAATGTAGAGCTGTCCACTACACTGAAACATACGTCACATGACTCATCCTTTACCAAAAGCCACCACAAATATTTGTCAATAATCAATCAACACTCGATTCTCTCTTTTATTCCCCCACAAATTTTTATATTCTCTTCGAAAATAAAGACATCAAACTCTTCCCTTTATCGATATCATCTCTTCTTTGACTTCATCAAGATCCCAGACGAGATGGCTCAGGTTTTTTTCTCATTTAATTTTAAAAACTGAATTTGACAACTCTCAAGGTCATATACTGCAGCGGAGAGCAAATCTAAACTAAGATGGTCATAGGTTCTGAAAGAATAGGGCCTGAAATAATGCAACTAAACTATCATTTTTGTAACAAAACTATCATAAGTTTTGAAAGAATACGACCAAACTATCATAATGCAAAGAAATTGTTCTTTATTTCTAAGATTCAACCCTAGGAAACTCTGGTTATAGAAATTATATGCGCTTTTATGGCCCAAAATGTTAGGCAAAACAAATACCTCACATTAAGAATTGGTCCACCCTTAAAAATTAGGAGAAGTTAGGTAAAACCAAAATCGCAGGACTAGGTAAAAGAGTTTGGTAAAAGAGTAAGGGATGGTTTGAAAAGTTTAGGTAAAGAAGAGCTAGGACCAGCATGTGGACAAAAAGAGGAGGGGGAGAGGAATTCACAGACGATTTTGACCTCCAACATCGATATGCTACGTGCAGTAACGTGCTATGAGTGGATCAACCCACACATTAATAAATAATCATGTCATTTAAACGTATAAATACATCGTATTATATGTGTGATGTCTATAAATATTTCATGTTTTTTTTTTATAAATATTTCATGTTGAGATGTCACAGAATGAGGCCGAACGAAAATGCCACAGCACATGATATATTTTTCTTAGATGAGTGTAAAATTTATTCAAACAAAAAAACATGTTTACATCAAGTGCTATTATTTCCTGATAATGTTTTGTTGAAATTTAAAATTAAACAATGAATTTAAATTTTCCTATGAATGTTGTTGTCTCGTCCCAAACCACATGGTGAGACTGTCATCAAGAGAATGCACTCCCATTTTCCTTAGTGAACTGAGTCTATTCCTGATAGCTTTGTCAATGAATTTGCACAACACATAATAAAGATATATGCATTTAAAAATATGAACATATATGTTTAAATTAACAAGTTATTTGTTCACTATGAGGAAGATCATTCTGATATGACGCCTTGTTAAACTAACACAAAATCTTACATGCTACGTTTATACAAAACTGGATTTCGTCATCTTGTTTGCTTATTATCCTGGGAACTCCTCATCTAATGCAATTTTCCTAAAAATAATAAAGACAAAACAAAAGCAACTCTAGAAAAGCATGCGTAGTAATAAGAATAATGTAGAGCTGTCCACTACTCTGAAACATACGTCACATGACTCATCCTTTACCAAAAGCCACCACAAATATTTTGTCAATAATCAATCAACACTCGATTCTCTCTTTTATTCCCCCACAAATTTTTATATTCTCTTTGAAAATAAAGACATCAAACTCTTTCCTTTATCGATCTCATCTCTTCTTTGCTTCATCAAGATCCCAGACGAGATGGCTCAGGTTTTTTCTCATTTAATTTTAAAAACCGAATATGAATTATCTTATACATCTCTTTTTCCAAGATCATATTTAAACTTTTACTTTTTTTTAAATGTTTTATAGAAGGTGGTGTTGAAGGTTTTAACCATGACGGATGATAAGACGAAGCAGAAAGCCATAGAAGCTGCAGCTGATATCTTCGGTGAGAACAATAACTACCTGCTTTTTTAAAATTATGATCAATTGAAATTCGATTCTAGTTTCTAGCTATTATTTGTAATTCCTTATTTTAATCTATTTTAGATTTTTTAGAATTTGAAAACCAAACAAATTTGCTGCTGGTTTTATCAGTCAATAAATTGCAACTTTTAGCTCAAATTACGTAATAAGATTTGGTTCGATTGTGTAATTGCGACAGAATTTGAGTGCTTGGATGATTTCACCTACTCCGTTTTGACGTTGTCAATGAGTTGATATTCTTTTGACGATGAAGAACAAAAATAGCTAGGGCCCATTTAACTTTTAGAGGCCCATAGTTTATGGGCCTAGTTGAAAACCCATTATGCGAAAGTCAATAATGGATGTGTGAATGTGATCTGCCGTATGGAAAAGTATAGATCATTTGATACTGAGATAAAACAACAAATTAAGTGTTCAACCTTCATATCATTGAGTGTTTGATATGATACAAAGTATTTCTGCAAAGTGGGTAAATGACTTGGTTATTGTGTTAAGCAGGAGTTGATTCAATAGCAGCGGATATGAAGGAGCAAAAATTGACTGTCATTGGTATGATGGATGCGGTTGCAGTGGTAAAGAAACTGAAGAAAGTCGGTAAAGTAGATTTGATATCGGTGGGACCGGCGAAAGAGGAGAAGAAAGAAGAGAAGAAGGAAGAGAAGAAAGAGGAAAAGAAAGAGGAGAAGAAGCCAGAAGAGAAGAAGCAAGAAGAACCTAAGAAATAAAGCAACTCAGCTGATATTATAAACCCTACTATACATTTTGTCATCTTAGTTTCATAATCAAACCGTCCAATCATTGAATAATTGAATATGTATAATTGTAATTGTTAAACTGAGAATATAAGCTATCCCAAGACGTGCTGGTGAGCAACATATGCTGGTAGAGTGTTGGGTGCAAATTGCTTTTGTTGTTTGGGCGGCCTGAAATTTTGTAAACCTTGCCTTAGCATCCCATAGACTAGGCGGTCGGTTTAGGTCGAGCCCAGGGCCGGCTCAATTTTAAATTGAGTCCTGAGCCAAAATATTTTTGATGGAGTTTTATGTATAATATGAAAATTTATGACATATTCTACAAATTTTCAAAACTTCGGGGCTCCTATATATTAAAAGAAATTTAATGAAGAAAGTAGACCATGTGCAAATGCGCCGGTCGCACTAATCCGGTACTGGTCGAGCCGTGCACCTCCCTCGACCATATAGCCGTCCAGGGTCCATTGTCATGCAGATAAATAGTTTTCTATTTTTATTGACTAGTTGTATATTTCTTTTTATGTGTGGAATAAAAGTTTAAGATAAGGTGAGAAAATATATGAACTGCTTTGTAAGAAAATAACATGAAAATGGAGCCTGTCAAATCAATAAAATATTTATAAAATTAGAAACAACAATGTTGAGTGACTTGGTAGCCAACCACCACGATTACGTAGGTGACACGTAACTACATAATCAATCTATAGTCGCAAACCTTTTATTTTAAAATAGCCAATTCCACAGAAAATGAATTGAAATTTGACGATATAAAGCTACTTTACAAATACAAGATTTAACAGGTAGCACAATCCTTTAAATCTTACTGAGATATGTACATCAATTCACGACTACTAATCGTATATTTCTATTAATTTCTATTACGAGGAAAAAGGAATAGCTATTACTACGTACTTGTTTTTACTGTAAATAGCAATTGTTAGTTCCCTTTATCATAGAATCATCAGTATTAATGACATTCTTGATTTAGCATATTATGATTAAAATGCATTTATTAGTTTCGCCATTTGACATCAAAGATTAAACCTTTACGGTTTCGACAACAAACAAGACTCGCTTAAAGAAATGTTACAAGTTATAAAGAGTCCCTTTTGGGGCAACATAAGTAACGTAACGTAAAAATCCTCAGTATTTCCCTAACCTTTTATTAACCTCACATTTATGACGTCACGAGAGTTGGTAAATTCGTTAGTCTCCTGTGAAGTGTGAAGTTTTATGTAATAGAAACCTACAAAACCAAAAGAAAACCAAAAAAAGGAGGTAACTTTTAATCTAATATTGAAATTTTATATCGTATATGATCCGGTTCGGAGTCACGAACCGGTTCTACTATCTCTAAAACCGGTTTAACGTTTGTATGGTCTAAAACATTAATGATCGTGCAGCAATGAAATCAATGATACTAAATTTAGAAGAAAAAAACCAAATAAAATAAGAAAGAAGGCGAGTCATTTTATGACAACGAGGAACAGAACATCACTACCAAACAATTCCAGCTCAGTTTCTTCTCTCTCCTCTCATTCTCTCTCTTAAATAGCTAGACTTCTGGATCATTCTTGATTCCCTTCAGTTTTTTTTTGTTCTCTTGTAATCTTTAGTTGGTATACCTGACGTCATATACGACATGGCCGAAGAGGAACCAAATAAGGTGACCGAAAACGTTCCTACCGTGTCTGAACCAACTCCACCACCGCCAGCTCCGGTGGAAAAACCTGTTGATGCTGTGGATGTTGCTCCACAGGAGAAGCCTGTGGCTCCACCACCAGTTCTTCCAGCACCGGCGCCCGTGGAGGAGAAGCTAGATGACTCCAAGGCTATTGTCCCCATCATCGCAAGTAATAATTACTATTTTCTTCTTCAGTATACAAATTATTACCCAAGTTTGGCTGAAAGAAATGAAAATATTATATCATAAGATATGTTTCCTATATATTATTGATCATATTCACCTTGGAGCTTATTACTGTCAAAGTTTCAAACGTTTTTATTTATTTCACAAATTAAGGACAATATTTTGTAACTTTATTTAGAAGGACGTAACAACACAAAAAATCAAATTTTTGTATTTATGTCAATTATTATTTTGGGACAATAATAACTCCAAGATTCTTGTTTGTTAATTATTGATAGTTTTCCATAACTATTTATTAAAAAAAACATTTTTTTGTGTGTGTGTGTGTGTGGCAGAAGAAGCAGGGGAAGAAAAGAAAGAAGGCTCGGTTAATCGAGGTAATTAAACGAAATAGATTCATGGTTGGCGTAATCATAGCCATGTATGTAAATCACTTTGGAGACATTAATCAAAGCTAAAATGGTCACGCACTAGTTAATTAATGTTTAGTAATACTGGAAAGTGAAAGTACTTAATTAGGTGGTTTTGCTTTTAATTATCGTTGTACATAAAATCGGACAGTTGGTTTATAGTAGGTTTTATATGGACGCGTGTGTGTTATTAACGGTGTCTCTTATTTTTTATACATACTCTGATAAATTATTGTATTTGCTTAAAATACTTGGGGGAGTGAAGATGCTGTCCTGGCTAGAGTTGAAACAGAGAAGAGGATGTCACTTATCAAAGCGTGGGAAGAGGCTGAGAAATGCAAAGTGGAGAACAAGTAACTTTCTTTAACTTTTATTTTTGTATTTTTATTTTTAGTTTTTTTTTTGTAGCACACATTTATTTTTTTCTAATCTAACATTTATCCATGATATATAATTTGAAACAATCAAACCACTGGTTATATTCTTGCACAATGTTTTTTCACAGAGCTGAGAAGAAACTTTCTTCAATTGGGTCATGGGAGAACAACAAGAAAGCAGCTGTGGAAGCTGAGCTCAAGAAAATGGAGGTATACTCTACTTTTCATAATCTCTATCTTTATTCTAAAATCAAGATTACATTCTGACTTGGCCCCAATATTCAACAGGAACAATTGGAGAAGAAGAAGGCAGAGTATGTGGAGCTAATGAAGAACAAAATAGCTCAAATTCACAAACAGGCAGAAGAGAAGAGAGCCATGATCGAAGCTAGACGTGGAGAAGAGATTCTCAAAGCTGAGGAGTTAGCTGCCAAGTACCGTGCCACTGGAACTGCTCCCAAAAAGCTCTTTGGATGCATGTGATTTAAATCACACATCTATGTGATGGCATGAATTGAATCTGGTGTTACTGTTATGTTTTTTTTTTCTTTTCATTGTATTATTTAATGTGGAAAATAAACCAAAGAAAAAAAGGTTTCATTTATACGTTATTAGTTTGCTTAATGTGGGGGTTTTAATATTGCAAAATAGAAACTCATGTATGGAAACGTACTTATATATTGATTTGGGAGTGCGTTTGTTAAAATTTGTATATCTACAGCTCTTATCTAAGCTTATTGAATTGGTAGGTACGTGCAAATGCAATGATATAATTTTGGAATGTAACGTTTTCTAGTGTCTAGCCAAATAATGGGCTTAATGCTAGTTAACTACCTACGGCCCATGAAAATAAAAGGCCCAAATGAAATTAGGGTTTCCATCGCATCTCTTTTTTTACATCTCCTTTGGTCTCAAATCATTTTAGCGGACAGTAGTAGCAGCAGCAGGAGAAGGAGCAACCAGAGTAGCCATGGCGGAACAGGTTCGACTTCGTGTCTACACAGTCTGATACACTTGAAGAGATCTCTCATAATCATCATCTTCTTTTTCTTTGTGTTGCAGACGGAGAAGGCATTTCTGAAGCAACCAAAGGTTTTCCTAAGCTCGAAGAAATCAGGGAAAGGAAAGAGACCTGGTAAAGGTGGAAACCGTTTCTGGAAGAACATTGGTTTGGGTTTCAAGACTCCCCGCGATGCCATTGAAGGTATTTGGATCCAATAGAACTCTAAGCTGTTAAAGTATTTAATCAGGCGATTAATCTAGGTTTTGAAACGTACAATTGATCTTTTATCTATCCGTTAGGGATATTAATGGTTGGTGTTTGAATTGTGAAACTATAATATCAAAAACATTCAGACATGTTTTGTAATATTGTTTTTTTTTTAAATGTGGAACAGGACATTACATTGACAAGAAGTGTCCATTCACTGGAACTGTGTCTGTAAGAGGTCGTATCTTAGCTGGTACTTGCCACAGCGCCAAGATGCAGAGAACCATTATTGTTCGTAGGAACTATCTCCATTTCGTTAAGAAGTATCAAAGGTCTGAAACCTTCATTGTTCTTTATTCAGCCTATATGATTTTTTTTTGTTTTTGTTTTTGGAACTTATTAACTGCTTAAACTTTGATCAGATATGAGAAGAGGCATTCCAACATCCCTGCTCATGTCTCACCCTGCTTCCGTGTCAAAGAAGGTGATCATGTCATCATTGGCCAATGCAGGTAACTATTGTTTTTTTTGTAGAAGAAAAAATAATGCCTCTATGCTTCTCATATGATTTAGGCATGCAGGAAAGAAACAGACTGATGGATTTTGATTTTATGGCAGGCCTTTGTCAAAGACGGTGAGGTTCAATGTGCTGAAGGTGATCCCAGCAGGTGCATCTGCTTTTGCAAAGAAGGCATTCACTGGAATGTAATAGTTTTTGAAGTTGTGTGGAGGAGTTCTTTTCGTTTGGCTTTTATATTTCCGAATGTTTTGTTCTTTGATCCTTTTTTTGTTTAAGACTTTGATTACCCACAGACTTGTTAGAAATCTACGTACTATTGTCATTTGAAATCACTACATTCGACTGTTTTGACTTTGGTATCTATCTAGAAGAAACCAACTGCTTTGTCTACTCATAGAGAGAGTCTTGAGTCTATCTATACTATTAAAAGTGAAAACATGGAGTATACTATTAAAAGTGAAAACATGGAGCTGGAAGAACTGAAATTGTTGGGAAGTTGTTATTTTTTGGTGGTAAAGTTGTTATCTTAGGGAGAGATTTCAGACAAGTTTTGCTTGTAATTTATAGAGTTGGAAGAGCTGAAATTGTTTTGGCATCTTTAAATTCTTCTCATCTTTGGAAGCAAGTCAAAGTTTTGAAACTGACAAAAAATATCAGGTTGATGTCTAACGATTTATCTCCTGAAGAAGCTAGAGATTTGGAAGAGTTTTCAAAGTGGATATTAGATGTTGGAGATGGAAATATAGGCGACAATAATGATGGCGAGACTCTAATTGATATTCCAGATGTGTTTCTTATTCTTGATGCAGAAGATCCTATTGAGTATATAAGCCAAACTGTGTATGGTGATGTTGTTTCTTTACAGCAGAATAAAGAGTCTAAGTTTTTCCAAGAGAGTGCAATACTTTGTCCAACTAACCAAGATGTCGAGAAGATCAATCAACACATGTTGGATAAACTTGATGGTCAGTTATTGTTTTATGTTATCAATATTATTTGTCAAATTGTACATTCATATACCAAGTTAACATAATAATTTTTTTTATAAATATTTCAGGTGAGGAAATGATCTTTCTAAGTTCTGATACGTTAGATGCTTCGGATAAATTTTCAGTTAACGATCAAGCTCTTACTCCAGATTTCTTAAATACCATCAAACTCTCAGGTTTGCCAAACCATAGTCTTCGCTTAAAGATTGGTTGTCCTATTATGTTGCTCAGAAACATAGATCCCACTGGCGGATTAATGAATGGAATGCGACTTCAGGTTACAGAGATGTACCCTAACATTATAAAGGCAAAAGTTATTACAGGAGATAAATATAAGGTTGGTCGAATAGTTCTTATTCCTAGGCTTGTTATTACCCCTTCTGACAAGAAGTTACCTTTCAAGATGAGGAGGAGGCAACTTCCTATTTATGTTGCTTTTGCTATTACAATCAATAAGAGTCAGGGACAATCTCTATCAGAAGTGGGCATCTACCTACCAAGGCCTGTTTTTTCTCATGGGCAATTATATGTGGCTATTTCAAGAGTTACATCCAAAAAGGGGTTGAAGATTTTAATTGTGGACGATGAAGGAAAGCCTCAGAGACAAACATTGAATGTCGTTTACAAAGAGATCTTCCAGAATCTCTGTTTTTTTCGATAATGTTGTATACATTTTTATATTTGATATATTTCAGAATGCATTTTCAATTCTTGAATGAGTTTGATCTTTAAAGTTTAGTTTAACTTTCGTTTTCAAAAGTCTATATTATATTATGAACCGAATATGATGCCATGCAGCCAAATCTATACTATTTAACTACCAAATCATTCGACTTTATATCTAAAAAAACTCATAATGAACATGATCATGTATTTCATCGAATCAAATAATTTTTTATCTAATCCATTTCAAAAATATATGCCAATTTATGACCCAATTATATTGGGCTTTTTAATTATTAATATCTAATGGGCTATTAGGCAGATTACCTATTTATCTTAAGCCTTGAAACCAACTAATGTTTAGGTTTAGTTCTTATCTATATAAGACTTTTCGATTGACTACAATAACCATAATATCTCTTCGTTTATCTCTTTCTCATCGGAAAACGGTGCGATTTTCTTTCATTGTTCTTTCTATTCTTTTGTTCGTTAGTAGATGTTGTTCTGTTGTTAGATCTATTCTATCTTAGACTGTTTCGAATCATCTGCCTTGAATAATCGTGTAAAAGGTTCTTTGTTCATAGTTTATTGAACATTGTCATGCTAGGGTTATAGTATCAGTTCCATTGTCTGAATATTTTATAAATCTAGAAAATTTTTACGGATCTAACTATAGAGAGTATTTTGTTGGATGTTTATATATATTTTACATGCACTTTTTTAGGGTTTACTATATTTCCATATTTGTTTCCTAAAATATATAGTTTGTTTCTTTGTTCTTTTCATCCTAAAGCATATAAGACATGCTTTCTGTTGTTAGATATGTCCTGCCTTGAATTGTAAACCATATCTAGTTTACAAATCTGTTTTTTATTGAATATTGGCAGTCTAGGGTTAGATTTTTAGTTATTGTTTTGGTTTTCGTTTTATGAATATTGTATTAACAATTTTAAATTTAGAGGAAATATATTTATCATATATTGGCAGTCTAGGGTTAGATTTGGTTTTATGAATATCGCTCATAATTAATTTATGTTATATCTTATGGTTTATTATATTTCCTTATTTGTTATATTTATTTTCTAAAATTTATTTTTGTTTCTTGAACATTGAGAAGTATCTCAATGACAGGTAACAAGGATCTCAAAATGAAAGGTCGATTCATGGAGAAAAAAGAAGAAACTGTGGAGGAGGCTTACCAGAGGGGTAATTTCGAGACCATGAAGCATTACAGGGCTATAATGGTGATGTATCGTGACCAGACAAGAGCTATTGAAGCAAGGCACTTGGTCGAACTCAATAAGGTTCGCCTTGAGGCGAAACTTGAGTTCCTCCATGAATGTGAATCTCTTTTTTCCATGTACCATGAAAAGAAGAAGACCGAGTTGGAACTGGTCCTTGCCGAATCCAAACTTGAAGATGCTCAGGTTCCTACTATAGATTGGTTCAAGCTGGGTGAACCAATGATGTATGACTGAGCATCTAACATAACCCTATCTCAAACTTAAATTTTTAAGTTTATTTTAAATCTTTTTTTTGTTTAAGTTGAACATTAATATACCGGTTGTTTCAACCGGTATTTTTATTAAAGACGTTATTATCTATATTTATTATTGCTTGATTTACTCTTATTACTTTATTTATTGCTTGATTTTCTCATATTTATTGCGTTTTAGTATTATTTTTCTTTACAGCTAATGGTTTTAGTTATGTTTAGTATAGATTCAAATGTATTTAGAAGTTTAATGATTAGATATGCAATATTTTGGCTCTCGCTATTAAACAACTATGTGATTTTTAAACTGGTATTTTTTTTCTTATTTGGTTATCTTAATTTTATAATATATGTTTGTTATTATTTTGTTTTGACATTTCTGAATGTACTTTTGATATGATTGACAAATATCTCAACTTCCAAAACGCTTCTTTTATGGTTTATACTTCAATGATGTTCTTTCCAAGACGTAATGATATGACATTTTAGTAATGAGAAGATTTTGGCACCAAAAGATTTCGTATATATATTGAGTTTATCAATGCAAGATAATCATTACTGTTTTTGACTTTTTTCTCTACGTGCAAAAATCAAATATAATAATATGATAGTTTATTAATATTCTTTTGAGATTATCTATGCAGTGGATTATTTAAATAGGATAAGCCTTTTGTTATAATACTATTTTAAATATTTAAAATTTTACACTATTTTGTATTGTGATTTTTCATGTTAGCTCATGATTTATCTTCAGAATATCTTCGTTTTATATAACTAATTGTTTTGATTCTTAGATGTTATTATTTTACAAATTATTGGAAT